GCATCAGAGCTCACAGCAAACTCCAACTCCTAGGCTCAAGCGAGTCTCCTGCCTCAGCCTCCCAAGTAGCTGGGACTACAGGCGCCTGCCACAACGCCTGGCCATTTTTTGGTTGCAGCCATCATTGGTTGTTTGGAGGGCCCGGGCTAGGGATTCGAACTCGCCACCTTAGGTGTATGTGGCTGGCGCCTTAGCCGCTTGAGCCACAGGCGCCGAGCCTATTCTGCGCTTCTAATACTTCACCATAATTGTAATAAAAGACCCTGAGGAAGATCTAGCTTAGGGAAGGGGAAGAGAGACATAGTAAATACCTGTTGGCTATTTACCACGTCATTCCCCTTTTCTTCTTTCCTAAAAAGACTTCACTTTTATTAAAGTATACATTTCTCCTCCATGTAAGCATATGGAAAAGTTTACTCCATTTCTCCCTCCAGGGGTAGATTAGAAAAAGTTAATCAGTGCTTGTTTCAGCAGCACATATACTAACATTGGAATGATACAGGGAAGATGAGCATGGCCCCTGCACAAGGATGACATAAATTCACGAAGCATTCCATAGTTTTTAAAACACTTCTACATATTGTCCTAGACAAAACATGTATAACTAAGCCCCCAATGGCAATTATAGCAACCACAAAAATAATATAAATGGGATTTGATTAAACTAAAAAGCTTCTGCACAGCTAAGGAAATAATCAACAAAACAGACAATCTGCAGAATGGAAGAAGATATTTGCAAATTATACATCCAATAAATGGCTTATATCTACAAAGAACTCAAGAAAATCAGCAAGAAAAAACAACCCCATTAAAAAGTGGGCAAGAGACATGAGCATGAGTAGAAGCCTTTCAAAAGAAGATAGACACATGGCCAATAATCGTATGAAAAAATATTTGATATCATATCACTAATCATTAGAGAAATATAAATTAAAACCACAATGAAATATCACCTTACCCCAGTTAGAATGGGTTTTATTAAAAAGTTCAAAAACAGGCTTAGCGCCTGTGGCTCAAGCGGCTAAGGCGCCAGCCACATACACCTAAGGTGGCGGGTTCGAATC